TCTATGAAGCCCTACAGCATCTTATAGAATTAACACCAAAAAATGAGGTCCTTATCATCATGGGGGATTGGAATGCTAAGGTAGGAAGCCAAAAGATAACCGGAATAACAGGCAAGTTTGGCCTTGGAATACAAAATGAAGCAGGGCACAGGCTAATAGAATTTTGTCAAGAAAATACGATGGTCATAACAAACGCTCTTTTCCAACAACCCAAGAGACGGCTCTACACATGGACATCACCTGATGGTCAACATAGAAATCAGATTGACTATGTGCTCTGCAGTCAAAGATGGAGAAGCTCTCCTGGTCAGTAAAAACAAGACCAGGAGCTGACTGTGGCTCAGATCATGAGGTTCTCGTTGCAAAATTTAGGCTTAAATTGAAAAAAGTAGGGAAAAGCACTAGGCCACTCAGGTATGAATTAAATCATATTCCTGATGAATATACAGTAGAGGTGACAAATAGATTTAAGGAATTAGATCTGATAGACAGAGTACCTGAAGAACTATGGATGGAAGTTCGCAACATTGTACAAGAGGTAGCAACTAAAACCATCCCAAAGAAAAAGAAATGCAAGAAAGCAAAATGGCTGTCTGAGGAAGCTTTGCAAATAGCTGAGGAAAGAAGGGAAGCGAAAGGCAAAGGAGAAAGAGAAAGATACACCCAATTGAATGCAGAATTCCAGAGAGTAGCTAAGAAGAGATAAGAATGCCTTCTTAAATGAACAGTGCAAAGAAATAGAAGAAAACAACAGAATAGGGAGGACCAGAGATCTCTTCAAGAAAATTGGAGATATGAAGGGAAAGTTTCATGCAAAGATGGGCATGATAAAGGACCAAAATGGCAGGGACCTAACAGAGGCAGAAGAGATTAAGAAGAGATGGCAAAACTACACAGAAGAACTATACAAGAATGAGCTTTAACATCCCAGATAACCACAATGAGATGGTCACTGACCTCGAACCAGACATCCTAGAATGTGAAGTGAAATGGGCCTTAAAAAATCTGAGCAACAACAAAGCTAGTGGAGGTGACAGTATTCCAGCTGAGCTATTCAAAATCTTAAAAGACGATGCAATAAAAGTGCTACACTCAATTTGCCAGCAAATTTGGAAAACTCAACAGTGGCCACAGGATTGGAAAAGGTCAGTTTACATTCCAATTCCAAAGAAAGGCAATGCCAAAGAATGTTCAAACTATCGCACCATTGCACTCATTTCACATGCTAGTAAGATTATGCTTAAAATCCTACAAGCAGTATGTGGATTGAGAACTACCAGAAGAGGCAGAGGAACTAGAGATCAAATTGCCAACATACGCTGCATCATGGAGAAAGCTAGGGAGTTCCAGAAAAATATCTACTTCTGCTTCATTGACTATGCAAAAGCCTTTGATTGTGTGGATCACAACAAATTGTGGCAAGTTCTTAAAGAGATGGGAGTACCAGACCATCTCATTTGTCTCTTGAGAAATCTATATGCGAGTCAAGAAGCAACAGTGAGAACTGGACACGGAACCACTGATTGGTTCAAAATTGGAAAAGGAGTCCGGCAAGGCTGTATACTGTCGCCCTGCCTATTTAACTTATATGCAGAGCACATCATGAGAAAGGCAGAGCTAGATGAATCAAAAGTTGGAATTAAGATTGCCGGGAGAAACATCAACAACCTAAGATATGCAGATGATACCACTCTAATGGCAGAAAGTGAAGAGGAACTAAAGAGCCTCTTGATGCGGGTGAAGAAGGAGAGTGCAAAAGTTGGCTTGAAACTCAACATTAAGAAAACCAAAATCATGGCATCCGGCCCTCTCAATTCCTGGCAAATAGATGGGGAAGAAATGGAGGTAGTGACAGATTTTATTTTTCTGGGCTCCAAGATCACCTCAGATGGGGACTGCAGCCAAGAAATTAAAAGACGCTTGCTCCTGGGGAGGAAAGCTATGGCAAATCTAGACAGCATACTAAAAAGCAGAGACATCACCCTGCCAACAAAAGTGCGTATAGTCCAGGCCATGGTTTTCCCAGTTGCAATGTATGGCTGTGAAAGTTGGACCATAAGAAAGGCTGAGCGCCAAAGAATTGAGGCCTTTGAACTATGGTGCTGGAGAAGACTCCTGCGAGTCCCTTGGACTGCAAGGCGTTCAAACCGGTCAGTCCTAGAAGAGATCAACCCCGACTGCTCTTTAGAAGGCCAGATCCTGAAGTTGAAACTCAAATACTTTGGCCACCTAATGAGAAGGAAGGACTCACTGGAGAGGGGCCTGATGCTGGGAAAGATTGAGGGCAATAGAAGAATGGGACGACAGAGAATGAGATGGCTGGATGGAGTCACTGAAGCAGTAGGTGTGAACTTAAATGGACTCCAGAAGCTGGTGGAGGACAGGAAGACCTGGAGGAACATTGTCCATGGGGTCGCGATGGGTCGGACACAACTTCGCAATTAACAACAACAACAAACGAATAGTAATACATAATATATACAATGTTAGTCACCCAAAAAAGTATACCCGGTGCCAACTCCCAAAGGTTTTCAGAAAAGTCAGTTTTAACTTTTTCCAGAAGTGGGATAATGCTGGACTCAATCAAACTTCCAAAGGGAGCCAGTTAGAGTGTTATGATGTCAAGCCAAAGCTCCCATTGCCATGATATTTCTCCATCCTCCTTCTGGGTCTCAGCTAAATCCTCTATTTTTGTCCCATGGTAGACAGGTTGAGGGGTAGGGGTCCCCAACCCCCAGTCCATGGACCAGTACCAGGCCCCAGCATGCCAGCAACCGGTCCACACAAACAAGCAAAGCCCCATCCGTGGGCTGCAGGCAGCACACAAAACCACGCACCCTCTGATCCATGGAAAAACCTCTCTCCACGGAACTGGTCCCTGATGCCCAAAAGACTGGGGACCTTTGGTCTAGAGGTTTTCTCATAGGGAGAAAAGAACATCTTATAAATGTTAATTCAGAAATCTGTAGGTATTGTGCTACATACCATAATAGTTTTCAACCATTGCTGAGATCAGTTATTTTATAAACAGTTTTATATTACAATCATTTGCATTGCTTGGGAAATTCACGATTATTCTCAGGAAGCATTTTTTTTTTTACTTCTCCAATGCTACAATGATCTCTGTCAGCTGCCCTCTGTCTGACATAACCAAATCAGTTAACTTAAGAGAGTCTGATCTATGTGTATTAATATTATTATAAGCTCTCTTCTGCCTAACCACACACTAGAACAATGGTTCTCAACCTGTGGGTCGGGATCCCATTTGGGGTCAAACGACCATTTCACGGTGGTCGCCAAACAACGCAGTCTGCCATTTTTTTCCCCCTTTTCCTTAGCTGTGCTACTCCCTTTTATTCTATTGGCTTTTGAAAGCCAATAGAATAGACTCTCTTGAATAGAGTCTAATTCTATTGGCTTTCAAAAGCCAATAGGAATTGTCCAGGCTGTCTCTGCCCTGCTGAGCCCGCCAAAAGTCCCATTCTGCAAACGGTGCTGCACCAGTTGAGTAGTCCTCGACTTACGACCGGTTGAGTAGTCCTCAACTTACGACCGGTTGGGGGTTGCGGCATTAAAAAGGTTGAGAACCACTGCACTAGAAAGACTCAAAGGCAAAATCAGGGCTTCTTTTAATGACCCTCATACAGTCATATTTTCAGCTGCCTAGCAAAGTATTCAATGTTTTCCCACCATGTACAGTTCACTCAAATGACATTTGGGGCAATGACAACTGAGGTTCTTAGTCAACAGAGGCTATGGCAAGCTTAAGAGATTGCCAACTCAAATGCTGTTGCCAGTTGAGTCAATTTCCCTCCAAGGAGCAGAAAGGAGGGGAACCAGCACTGCTCCCCAATCTATATATTGACAGTGATTAAATCAGTAGTTGAATCTTCAAAGATTGGATCTTTTATTATTACCAGTATGTATGTGAAGGCTCTATGAAGGTTGTTTCCACTCTCTGTGGCTTAGAGCTGCCATACAACACTCTGCAAAACTGGATGTCATATGCATATGATACGTCCCTTTATTGATGTTCAATAAAATATCATAAAAGATTGGTAACTGAATGACTAGGATGATCAGCATCTGAACAAGCAACATTAGGGCTGAGAAAAAAAAAACCTCAATAAGCAAACAATAACTATGTCTTGCTTGGGTTTAACTTTCACTTTGTTCATTCTATCCAGGCCCCAAGATTCTCCAGACACTTCAAAGACTTCCCCAAACATATTTCCCCCAGAAGCTTCATATACAGGTAATCCTTGACTTACAACCATTAGTTTAGAGACTGTTGAAAGTTACAACAGCACTGAAAAAAGTGACTTATCACCATTTTTCACACTTATGACCATTGCAGCATCCTTGTGGTCATGTGATCAAAATTTGGATACTTGGTAACTGGCTGGTATTTATGACGTTTGCAGTGTCCCAGGGTCATGTGATCCCTTTTTATGACCTTCTGACAAGCAAAGTCAATAGAGAAGCCCGATTCACTTTACAACTGAACAACTGCACTGATTCACTTAACAACTGTGGCAAGAAAAGCTGCAAAATGGGGTAAAATTCACTTAACATCTGTCTTGCTTAACAATAGAAATTTTAGGCTCAGTTGTGATCATAAGTTGAGGATTACCTGGAGAAGGGAGGAGACTGAATCCCACAGTTAGACAGGAACATTTTGTTCCAGTACTCATGGTTTGTCTGGTATTTAACACATGTGAGAACTTGTCAGTGTTGGCTGCTTTGTGACTCATTACATTATTCCTTGTGGGAAAAAATTTATTTGTACTCATTGTTTTTGACACTTCTCGTGCTTCCAGAAATCAATTAACTGTGAGTATCGACGTACCACTGTATAGCATTTTATTTCTGAGTAGAGGAAACAAGTTACAGTAAGTCAAATCAGTGTCCACATCAGATAAAGCAAGTTAACCATTTAAGCATTGCATGGATTTATGCTCAGGAACACCAAAATCAGTAAATAAAAAAGGTTATTTTACCTTTTCCATACCTGTGCTAGTACCAAGTCCAATTACCGGGATAGTGTTCCCGTCGTTCAGTCTCAGACGGTGGCTTTCAGAGGTAAATTGCATCATGGTGATGCAAATGGGGCTTTCTGTAGTTTTTCTCCTGCTTCTGCAACCAAACTCCCCAAGGAAATGATAGTCTTCTGTATGTGTAATTTTTTCTTAGGTAATTTCTTGATCAATTTCTTCTCTCAGCAGAGAGTGCAAGAGAACAGAAAAGTCCTGTGCAACTAACTGCTGCTCAATCTGTCATAGATCAATGAGCAAATATTTGCTCTGTTAAAGACTGAGATTGGTGTCCTTGGCATTTCATTGGCAGAAATTACCAGGAGGCTGTTCCCTTCTACAGGGCAAAGACTGCTCAACCTTAAAAGTACTTGAAATGCAGCCTTTAGGTTGTAAGTGACTTGGATGAGTGAAGACTGTCAGTGTGATAGAAAGAAAGGCAGCTACAGTCAAACTTTAGCCAAGCCCTTTGTAAATCTTATTTTATCATCTCCACTGAACGCCTAGTGTGATCAGCTGGTGGTAATTGTGGCTGATAACACTAGCGATAGCATTTAGACTTATATACCACTTCATAGTGCGTTCAGCCCTCTCTAAGCAGTTTACAAAGTCAACATATTTCCCTCAACAATCTGGGTCCTTATTTTACCAACCTTGAAAGGAAGGTCAACCTTGAGCCCATCAGGATCGAAGTCCTGATTGTGGGCAGAGTTAACCTGCAATACTGCATTTGAACCATTGTGCCACCAGCGCTCCATGATCCCCTTGAAGGGTAGGGGCAGGATGAAAGTTTTGCACTGCAGCTTCTCCTTCTCCATCACCACAGACAAAGAAATGTTGCACTGAGGGTGATAGGGAGTTATCCCTGACCCGAGTAACTTCATGGAGATGTGAGGATATTGGGATTTGATCAGGAGAACAATTAACAGGCAACCTTTTTACCCAAGGCAGAGACTATCAATATTATGAAAGTACATTGTGAAAATGCAGCTATGGGGTCTGAGTGGCCTGTCTACTATCAGTAGTATCATTGGGGTCATCAACTGGCAGAACTGGACTATTATGCTGTATGAACCCAGTCAATGAGGTTTAAACAAAGAGCAGAGAAACTTTAGACAAGTTACTGATATGATTTTTATCCAAGCAGTCATATTTCTCTAATAATGTACAGGTAGTCCTTAACTTATGACATTTAATGATTGTTCAAAGGTACAATGGCACTGAAAAAAGTGACTTATGACCCTTTTTCACACTTATGGACCATTGCAGCATCCCCATAGTCAAGTGATCAGAATTCAGATGCTTGGCAATTAACTCATATTTATGACGGTTGCAGTATCCCAAGGTCATGTGATCACCTTTTGCGACTTTCTGACAAGCAAAGTCAATGGGGGAGCCAAATTCACCTAACCACCGTGTTACTAACTTAACAACTGCAGTGATTCACAACAACTGTAGGAAGAAAGGTCATAAAATGAGGCAAAACTGACTTAACAAATGTGTCACGGAAATGTTGGGCTCAGTTGTGGTCATAAGTTGAGGACTACCTGTATTGTGAATGTTGCAAGTCTCCCAGAAGTTTTTTGAAGTTGGACAGTCTTCAAAACTAATAAATCCAATAAAATATCTTATATGCTTGATAAATCAATGGAGAAAACCTCTCATTCTAACATTTCTGTACAAGCAAATTAACACATGCATGTAAGTATAGAATTCTTTATATGCAAGTGAATTAGCATTGTATTTATTTATCAAACTATCTGCATACTTTTTACCAGGAAGCCTCCAATACGGTAAAAAATGCAAAATTAAATAACATTCAATTTAAAAGACTTCAAAGGAAAAGAATAAACAAGCAACACTAGAATGGAGGCAACCTTTTATTCCTTTTACCAGTTACTGAAAACAAGAAAATAAAAAATTGCTAATAGATCAGAAAAGTGGGAAAAACTTGGCATTTTCTTTTGTAATGCTTTTAATGGAAACTTGTTTATTTATTTATCACTTTTAAACCCACCAGAGGAACCACAATTCCCAGCAGTTTATGCTGATAAAAGCAATAGGGTACATTAAAATTGAAGATGTCACAATAAAAATCAATATAGATTTAACATATATTACTCTGGCTCTAATAGAGCCATCAATCTCCAATATGTTCTGAACTAAATAAGAACACTGCATAAAACTCCAGATAAAACAGTGGCAACAATAACACATTAAAATGTAAATCTTATCTATTGAATTAAGTTAATGAAGACTGTATAGCACAAAAGGAAACATAATCATTAACTAATCTTTGCAAATCAAACTGTTGCCAAAGGACGCTGCTTTAGACTTCTTACCTCTTAAAAATAAGGGAATATTCCTCCAGAAAAATACAGATGCATAAAACAGAATACAAACACGACATATATAGCAATAGAAATAGCACAGACGTATAGATCGCTTCATAGTCCTTCACAACTCTCTGAGCGGTATACAGTGTTAGCATATTGCCCTGAGCAATATAGGTCCTCCTTTTACTGATCTCAGAAGGGTGGAAGGCTGAGTCAACCTCAAGCCCATCAGGGTTGAACTCCAGATTATGGGCAGAGTTAGCCTGTAATGCAGCATTCTAACCACTGCACCACCAGGGTTCTTATATCATATATATCAGGGCTTTGTACGTGTGATACATTGGCACCTGGCAGGTGGTACGTGACCATTCTAGAAAAGTGGTAACTGGGGAGGGGAATGAGCTGAACCGGTGGCAGCACCACACAAGCCTGAGCGAAAGATGGCTGGAGCTGCAGGGCTGTCAGGGCTCAGCGGAAGTGCCAGGATCAGTGCTGCTTTCCAGCTGATTGGTGCTTCTTCGGGGCTGTCAGGGCTCAGTGGAAGCACCAGGATCAGTGCCAGGCTCCAGCTGGAGCTCGGCGCTGATCCTGGTGCTTCTGTTGAGCCCTGAAGAAGCACCAATCAGCTGGAAAGCAGCACTGATCCTGATGCTTCTGCTGAGCCCAGAAGAAGCATTGATCAGCTGGAATGTTGCAGCATCTGCAGGGTCTTGTGATTTACATTCAGATGCTTGGCAACTGATTCATATTTATGATGGTCACAGTATCCCAGGGTCATGTGAAGTGACCAAAACCTTCTGCAACCACCCGCAGATGGGGAGAATAAAAACCAAACACCCCCCCCACCCCACTCCCGCTGACAATCCTCAACAGAAATGCCTCACAACAATGAAAACCTTGGACAGGAGGAAGAGCACCGCCGGGCGGGCAGGCAGGTGTCTTGCTCGGCTGTGGCTTGAGGGGCACTTTTTTCAGTGCCATTGTAACTTTGAACAGTCACTAAGCGAACTGTTGTAAGTCAAGGACTACTGGTACTTTATTACTTTTTTTGTATGTGTGTCTCTGTGTTTCTGTGTGTATGTATATAATAAAATAGTTAAGTTAGTAATATAACATAACTTATAAATTACTACCAACTTTGACTACTATACTGGCAAAATAATTTTTCATGGCCTCATCTACGAATGTATGAAGGCAGTGTGATGGCTAATTGGTTAAGACGCTGGGTTTGTCAGCTGGAAAGCTGGCAGGTATGAGACCCGAAAGCCATTTGACAGGGTGAGCTCCCGTCCTGGCCTCAGGTCCTGCCATCTCCCTGGTTGAAAGTATGCAAAAATGAGTAGATAAATAGATACCACTATGGTGGGAAGGTAACAGCTCTCTGTGATGTGATGCTGGCCATACATGACCATGGAAATGTCTTCGGAAAATGGCCTTGAAATGGAGATGAGTACCACCTCTATAGTTGGTAATGACTAGCAGAGTAAAATCTGCAGGACTCCTTTACCTTGTTACCATCTACAAATTATCACATCTACATTCAAAGATTGTTCTAAAGCTTGAAATTTTGTCTTTTTTTCCTTTCTTTTTTTAAAGTGTACTACAGTTTTGAATGTTTTAGAAAACCCTGTATGAAGCCACTATATTTCAGCACTTCAGAAGAATCTCATCCTTTTTAGTTATTTTATGAAGATTTTTTAATATCATAGCTGATCAGATCAAATGTAATCATCTCTATTTTATGGCACATTCCAGTAGACCTTTGAATACTTTATCTCAGAGGTAAGTAAATGTAATATTTGCAACATGCTGGAAACATATCCTTGATCTCTTACTCCTATCACAGGGCTAATTTGTCTGGGATCTTTGTCCCTTGGCTATTGGATGAAATATGAATACAGTGTCAAGCACAATAATATTACAGCATTCTGCAGCATTCAATGGTGATAAATTTTTAAAAGGTCTATGGACAGCAGATCTGATAAAAGCAATGAAGGACTTTTTTTCTTATTAATGGGATTTAAAAAAAAATACTCCTCAGGAGATTATGAATCATTGTTGTGTACATTAACTTGTGTAGTGGAGCTTGAGTGAGATTGGGGCCGGCTGAGAGGCTTTGCTGGAGCCCTGATGATCCGGCAGAGAGATGAGGAGCTCTGGCAGCTGCTGTCGTCTGGCAGTGGGGTGTGGCCCTGGGGAGGGATCAAAAAAGGAGGAGGAAGTCGACTGACTGACTGATCTATTCCAAGGTCCTATTACAAACACCCTGCAAGCACTCGTACTATCGGACTTCCCTTCACACTCGGCCTTTCTAACCACCCTCCTGCTGTAATCCTTAACAGCATCAATCTCCTTCTTTCTTGTAATAGCTCCTATTCCATTCAGAGAACCAATCCGTGATTCCTGCCGTTCACTAAGCGGGGCGGCAGATACCCTCCGGGGCGATACCCATCGGGTGTTACTAAATGACACAATGGGTCTAAGTGGGACACCCTCCTTGTGGACTTTGGGAAGCCCGGAAAACCTGGCCACCACTGTGTCACTAGGGCGTATCCTAGCAAGAGTATCTTCATCTATCCTCTTGCTGCGTTTAAGGGCATTGAGCATGTTATTGACACAGTTCTTAAGGGTTGTCATGGGGTCCCCACTTACGATCCTGTAAGCTGTGACATCACCGAGTAATTCCAACGCCTTGTTAACATAGTGCGCTCTGTCCATGACAACCGTGGCCCTCCCTTTGTCAGCCGGCAATATGAGGGTAGCCTCATCCTTTCTGAGTTGGGCCACGGCCTCCAACTCCTCCCTTGATAGAGTCTGGTGTTGCCTATGATTTATGAGTAGCCCCGTCACCTGCTGTCTAAAGGAGTCTTTTACATCCTCTCTTATCTCGACGCGATGCAAGGCAGGCTCTAACACTGCTA